AATATTTGCTGTTAATATTCCAATTTTTGGAATAAATTGACAATCTTATAGTCATTAGAAAGCTGAAGTTCCATCATTCATCATACTGAAAAATTACATATTGTTATTATGGAGACTTTAAAGATCGCCTACAATTTAAAACATCAACTGCTCATGTTAAAATTCTTTGATTTTTTTAAATTTTGATTAATTAATAAAAATACTAAGCTGATTGGAATGAAAATACCACTATTAGGATGACATTCTGCCCTGATTTATGGTTATGTGTGTTTCCTGAATTATTGTTATTAAGGCTCCGAACAGATCGGATCAGATCGGATTTGGTGGAAATCTGATCTGATCTGAAATCTGTTTAAGCTGATCTGATCCAATCTGGTTTTTTAAAATAATGGATCTGATCTGATCTGATCTGGTTCTTTAAAATACTGGATCTGATCTGATCTGATCTGGTTCCTCAAATACTGGATCTGATCTGATCTGATCTGGTTCTTTAAAATATTGAATCTGATCTGATCTGGTTCTTTAAATATTGAATCTGATCTGATCTGAAATCTGATCTGATCTGAAATCCGAAATCTGATCCAAGATATTACCGTAAAGTAGCACTTCTGTGACATTGCCTTTTTAGTAAATTTTATAGTTTGCCACGGAGCACTATCTTTCCAGACTTTATGATATAAATAATAATAAAAATTTTTATAAAAATATTTGAAAAAAAAATTTTATGAAAAAAAAATTTTTATAAAAAAAAAATTAATTTTTACAATTTTTACAAATTAAAGAATTTTATGAATTAAGAATTTTTATGAATTAAGAACTTCTATGAATTAAGAATTTTTTTATATGAATTTATGAATCAATTACTTTATGAACTATAATGGCAAACATTATTATTAATAATGATTCAGATCTACCAGAAGATGTAACAACAGTAACTGTTGATGATAATAATAATAGAAAAAAAAGAAGAAGTGAAGTTTGGGAGCACTTTGCTTTTGCTAATGATAAAGCAAAGTGTAAACACTGCATTGGATAAAATATTTTAATGAACTTGCAGTTTTCAAAAAACATATTCTTATTTATTTGAAATAATATATTTTTCAGAGGTTCATACACTGTTTCAAGTCGTAGTAATTCTAGCACTGGTAATCTTTATAAACATTTGAGAAGTCAACATCCAACTAAGCTTAATACCAATGAAAAAAACATTACAGTAACCGGGACTCTGAATCATTTTGTGCAATCAAAAAAATTACCAGTTAGTATAGAATTCTGAATAATAATTTGTTAAATTAATTATATAATTGCTTATTTTTAATTTCTTTTTATCAGCCTTTTTCAGCTGAAAGCTTTCGAAATTTTCTTATACGTTGGATTGTATGTAGTAGAGGTTGGAACCGGTTTGGGTACAATCGAATTAAAACCGGTTGCAACTGGTTGCAACGTAAAACCGGTTCCTATTTTTCGTATTCGATAAACCGAATATAATAAAACCGGTTTATTTCGGGCAACCGAATTTAATAAAACCAGTTGAACCGGTTTTATTATTAAACTTTATGTAAAGAGACTGTACTAAATATAAAGCATTTATCAATTCTCCGTCACCATTTTCAAACAAAAACAATAACTAAAGTGTATGTATATCAAGGTTGAGTGACGAAAATATTTTGGAGTGTAAAAAGTATTTCATCAAATGGGGCACATATGACGAAATGTGATGAAAGTGACAAAACGTGACAAAACGTGATGAAACGTGATGAAAAGTGATGAAACGTGACGAAAAGTGACAAAGGGTAAAGTCGAAAGTATGATAAAAGATGACAAAAATAAATTCAATTTTATTTAGGTTTAATTAAAACAAAAAAGTTAATTTTAATCGTTTTTTTATGCAAAGTTTTAGTAGAAATTGCTGCTTCACATATATTACTGGTTTCATAAATTTCTTCAAAATCTGTAGAATCATCTGATAATTCTGATTGTTGAAATTTACTCACTAAAGAAATAAAAAAAAATAGTGGTAAATATAAAATAAAAGAAAATTAATTATACACGGGATTAGTATGAATTCATTGCCAGAGATAACTTTTCCAAATTCCCTGTGATCCTTAAATCACTATTTCGCAATATGTAAATGTGAATGTGCATATGTACATATGTGTAAAACATTCACTGCTACCAAATTGTAAAGAGTCACTTGTCAAAACAAATTGAACACTTTCATTATTTAAAAATAATTTTGTACAAATAATTTTATTTTAACATAATTAGTAATATAAACTAATTTGTTCTGCAATAATGTTTAGAGTTATTTCTTTATTTGTACATTAATGTACTGTGATAATGTAAATATTTGTATATTAATTGTTGCACTTGTGAATAAAGTTATTTATAAGAAAAATTTTTTTTCTCTTTGAAAAAAAAAAAAAATAATGGATGACATAGAAGACATTCCCTTATCTCCTCCTCCTTTTGAATATGAACCTACTTCTTCAATTGAAATCATTTCTGAAACAGAAACAGTTACAACCAACAGTTCTAACAGTTTAAATAGAAAAAAACGAAATAGTATTAATATCATTAATTCCCACAACAATCAAAGCACCACCAAATCCCGAAACAATCAAAGCCATACATCCTATTTTTTTCGCACTGATCCAATTAATACTTCCATCACCTATTGCAAAATATGTGAAATTAATTTAGCTGGTGCACGTCAAAAACCTTATGCATACAGCCAAAAAGGTGGAAACACAACAAATCTTATTGTCCATTTGCGTGATAAACACAAAATCACAAAAGAAAATTATTTTCAGTTTTTAGATAATTCTAATCAGGTAATTGCTTTCTGCTGCAGGTGTTTATCCATATCCTCATTCTTCTAAAATAGAGTTTAATTAATATTTAATAGCCCCGACGTGATCAAACTCAAATTATAGGATATTTAAAAGCAGCAGCTCCATGCTCACCAAAACGACAGGAACTTATTACACAAAAGCTTGTAACCTTTATCATCAAATTCATTCAACCACTATATATTTTACAAAATCAATACTTTTGTGAATTACTCCTTATCTGTGAGCCGGGTTATAGAATTCCATGTGACAAAACAGTAAAAGCAATAATCAATGATTCATTTGTATGCTGTAAGGAACAACTTTGTTCACTTTTAAATAATAATAATGTTATTGCTGTTCATTTGACTACTGATTTATGGACTGCAAGGTCTCGTCATGTATATCTTGGTGTAACAGCCACATGGTTAACATCTAATTTTGAATTCTGTGAGGCACTTTTGTCCTGTAATCACATTCCATATCCACACTCAGGAGAGACTATCAGTGCTGCATTATTTCAAATTATAAATGAGTGGCATTTATCAAACACAGCATTTACCATTGCAACTGATAATGGTTCTAATAGCATAGTGGACATTTGATTTCATTGGCTAAATTATGTGACGATCTCCCTTCCAGATATCACGCAAAAAATTAAATTTTATTGGCTTG